ATTAAAGAAAAAAAAACAGCTTGGGAGTCTTCATTTTATTAATATAGGAAGTATTCACTGGCGGCCATAGCTGTGTGCGCGACTGCTGAGCGCGTGCTGATGGCGAGCTTCCACAGTTCTTTTGTAACGTGCATTCCGCACCCTCAACATTGCCGGTCTTAGCAGCCTATTAATGTGGGCTCCTTCTGAGCATGCGCTCCAAACAGCACCCACAAATATGGCGCCCAGTGAATACTCCTTATTGTTGGGTCAGAGCCTCTTTTGTTCTGTTAATTACTGCCTAATTTCTGACTTTCCCGCGTTTTGGCCCTGTTCCGCCTGCGTCACATAATTGCCGACAGGGGCAGATTCTGTCGGCGATAATGCTACTAGAGTCAGCGACAATGCTACTACAGTTACGCACGTAATTCCAATATTTTCGGAACGCATATTTTAAAGCGGATGAGCAGTAGCACATGCCGTTTCCAAAAGTAAATAAATGCATTGAACGGTGGTTATCACCCAACACAAATTCCTGGTCAAACGAACGAGCTGGTAAGGTTTCCCGATGTCGATACTGCGAACACTGAAATGTTTTATTGCTAAAGCCAAGTACCAGGGAAAGAGCAGAAAAGCAAGTGGGATTGCAACGGTCGGGGTCCTCTGGGATTACAACCGCTACGAAGTCCCCTAAGGAGTGTGGAAGGTGTTAGCAGTTTCGGGACTCACGTTTCGTAAATGACGTACAGTTCCTGTCGTCAGGCACCTGTCACTACCTCGAGGTGCGCGAAAGAGATATGGGCAGGTCAGCCAGTCAAGCAGTACCGAAAAGGGTCGTGGAAGGGTACATGGGCTGATTCAGATTTTGACGAAAAAAAGGCCTGAACCAAGCTCTGCTTTCAGTGGAGCCTCAGCAGCATGCTGAGACCACAGCAGATGATAAGAGAGTCTAAAGACCTTCAAGGATAACTGCAAAGAAAAAAAAAGTGTTTTTTTTTTAAACAGCCTAATTGGGACAAGCATGTCACAAAACAAATCTTTTGCGAAAAAAAAATTTTTTTTTCTAGCAATATTTACGCCGCAGGGCGAAATTTAATTGGAGTCACAACTTCTCCCCATTTGAAACTCCCGCTCTCTCGATGCGCGCGGAGTGTCTGATATACGTCACTCCGTGACGTATAGCAGCCGCTCCGTGACGTATAATACCAACCTTGTGGCGCGCGATTTAAAACAGACGGAATAGCCGCAAACTAAAATGAGTCTCGGGCAATAAATATTGCTGTAAACAATTTCGTTTTTGGCAGAAAATTTCTTTTGTGAATGCTTGTCCCAATTAGGCTGTTTCAAGGTACATTTTTTCTTTGCAGTTACCCTTTAACACAGGGTAGGCCCTATACTTCCCATATAATATTAGTCCATGTCGAGAAACATTTTTCTTGGTAACTGAAAGGGGTATCCCCGAACTCTATTTTAGACTTTTTGTTCAAAATGTTATGGTCTTTCCAGTAAACTAGACTTGTTGAAACCACGTTAAGAATATTTTTAGATCACATTTTGCCCTCTAGCGCTGAATGACTTGCTATATTTCTGTATTAAAACATTTAACATAAGAACTGTAAGGTTCAAGTTGCTAATTCTAGTTCAGTGCTTGTCAACTCCAATGTAGGTGGCCGGAAAAAAATTGACACTTTATCCTAAAAGGTTTAGGAAATAATGGTGTGCCTATGTAATAAAAGACATTGTTTTCTGATAATTGATTTTAAAGTAGAAAGACCGGAAAATAACAATTTTGTGATTGGCACCAACACCATCAGAGTTTTTGTCATTCAATAGCCACCAGCTGGTTTGCCACTGTCATAGTCATTTTTTCTGCTTTTCGGCCTGTCGCCTTGCTTGCAGGGCCTCTTTTGGGAGCTGCCGTGCTGCTTGTTCTGCAAAGTAGATTTTAGTCATGTCAAATTCCATGAGCCACTTGGTGGTGGTGCGCCCAGTGTTCAGTCCCCATGATTTCAATATTTTGGCACGTGCGATGCTACCATCACTGAATAAAATAACAGCATCGAATGTTTCCACCCATAGAGTCTGTAGCCCGCCAAAGACATTCTCTGGCGCGCGTTCCGAAACAACGTGGTTAAACGACTCATTCCGTTTTCGGTCCGCTCATGTAGGCATTTCTCCAGAAGCTCAGCCTGCGAAAGTTGCCGATACACGGGTTTGATTGCCTCCAGGACAGGTACAGTCTGATTCTCTTTACGAACGAACGGCTTGCCCTCTCACAGCTTTTTGTTGAAGGCACACCAGGTATCAAGGATCTTTGGGAAGAGTCCATGACATGGGTCGCTGTCCGTGGACGATAAATGGAAGTACGTTCGCCAAACAGCCTTTCGCATTTTTTTTTAGGTTTTCTACGCTCGTTCTGATGGCCAACCGAAAGTATGTGTACTGTTTGCCTATCATTTCATCCGTCAGTTGTGCTCGGCCAGAAAGGCCCTTTCCATCAGGCACCTTTCCTTCTTTGTTTTCTTTTTTTAGCCTTCGTAATCTCGCGATTATTTTTTTCTGGACATGCCTTATGCACTCCAGCTTCGAGATTTAAACAGATTCATCATACGGCTTTTTTCCCTTCACAGCCAAAAAGGCCTTATTTTCACCGTCCCCAAGATACTTGACGTATCCCACGCCATGAAACTAATCACTCCTGCAAAACATGTTCAGTGCTCCAGCGACTTACATTCCACCACTGGTGCCTTGGTAGTGCCTTGGCACTCATCTTTGTGCCGAGGGTCACTGGATACATCCTTGCTACCGCATTTCGCACAGCGCTTCGATATCGCTTCTACCTCTAACACTTTCCCAGAGTCTACACTACTCGTAGAAACTATATATACTATTGTTAGAAGTGTGCCCACGCTTTTGCCAGTTTCCATCAAGGGCAATTGTGATGTCCTTGTCGCCATTATTCAGCGGCACTTGAGCAGCCCGCTTCATCGGCTCCTTGGCAGCAGCCTCAGTCTGACTTAAGCGCCCTTTCTTGTACTTCGCAAACTTGGTTGGTGGTTTAGGAAGGTTTAGAATGGCAAAGACTACACTTCCTTCAGCCACTCCATTACCAATGCACTTCAGGGCGTAAACCAGCCTAAGGTTGAGTTCATCAAGGCCAGAACTCTTTTTTTTTTGTTAGTTCTAAAACCGGTGTGGGGTGCTGCATGCTTCACAGTTGAAACTGTATACACTGGCAACACTTACTCGCTGTGACGATATTTTGACGAGCTCAAGGCTTGCACAACACAGTCTGCACACACAGCTTTGTGCAACTACGCCACATAAAACTTCCATGTACATTTGGCCATACCCGAAGTAACACTGTAGCACATTTTCTTCTTGGAAGGACAGAAAATCACTTAAACACTAGGAATCTGCGACGATGAGGAGCTGGCAAGTTCTGCGTTTGGGGTCTCAAAGCGTCGACAGCATTCATTTGGTTTTACGAAAGGAGTCTTCCGGTTTCGGCGGAAGTGACGCTTTTTGAACAGTTCCTTTGCCCTGGACATCCTAACTTATGAATACATGGTTTTGCGCAAAAAAAGACGGACACAAGAGAAAGAAACAAACACGAGCGCAACTTACAACTGTATTGAGGAAACCTCTAGAAAGCATGCAGATATATTGTCAACTTCAATGCGTCCACGCATGCGCCGTGTCACTATCACACGTTCGTCACAGAAACTTGTCAAGGAAGCGTTTTTCAGCATTATACAAACTTATCGAGGTATCGCTCACACATAGGTCGCCTTTCTTTTTGATAAAGAAGGCTTTCAACAGTTTGTCCCTTACTTCCACCCAAAATTGCAGTGTCAGAAAAACGTGGCTAGCACTCACAGTTTCTGCAGTGTGCAGGCAAATGTGCCCCGTCATTAGTCTTTAAATTTTGAGCATGATCCCTGAGACGGTCGTTGGCACACCTTCCCGTTTGCCCCACGTATGTCTTCCCACACGTGAGCGGGATTTTATAGGCGACTTCTGTTTTGCAGCCAACAAACGGCCTGGCATGCTTTGTGCTGCATCCTTGGTTCTGTCTGGTTTCTCCAGTAATGCGGGTTCAGAGTTGGCCGAGTTTTGTCAGAGCTGTAAACACATTCGGCACTCCATGTCTGTTCGCAACCTTCTTGAGGTTATGCGAGAGTTGTGCACGTATGGTACCGCTTCAGGCCTCACATTCCGCAGTGTTGACTGCATCCTTTTTCCAGCAGTTTTTCCCTTCACTCTTTGCAGGATGGTTTCCACCACACTCCTCAAGACCGAACCAGGGAAGCCCGCTGACAATAGTCGAGCCAATTTATTGCTAAAGCTCGCCTGTATCCTGTGAGCACACGACTTTCTGAGGGCGGACTCAAGGCAAAGCTTAGCAATTCCTCTTTTAAGTACCTTTGAATGGGCTAAGTCATACGGCAGGAGTTCCCTTCGAGACCGTGGAGAGTACTACCAACTAACGTGTTCTTCCAAGTACAAAAGGTTCAAGTCTAAAAACTGAAGGCTGCCTTGGTCGGGCAGCTCATGTGTAAAAGACAAGCCTTTGCCTTGGCGCCTAAAATTCTGTGAAACCTCATTCACACCATCAGTGTTCGTCAGAGAAGTCTGCTTTCTAAAAACAATTAAAAAATCATTCACGTATCTAAACACTCTACAAGCATTAAAATCATTAAGAGCCTGCTCAAGCGTCCGATAAATTGCTGCTAAAAAATGTTGCATAGTATATGGGCTACGCACGAACCAATGCATATGCCTTCCTTCTGTAAATAAATTTGATTGTCAAAGGAAATAAAAGTGCTGTTGAAGTACGCTTCTAGTAAGTTCAAAAAATCTTCAACTGAGACTCCTGCCGTGTTCTAGAAAGAAACAACTCCATTTACGTCAATACACCCCCTTACTGCACTGAACAATTCGCAGTGCGGGACTGAATAAAAGAAATCTTCAATGTCGACTGAAAAGGCGTACCCTATGCTCTGGTTATCCTGAATGAAATCAGCCACCTCATCTGATCTCTTTGTGAGGAAAGGGTCTGTAACCTGCAAGCATTTCAAATGTTTCAATAGAAACTGACTTGTAAGTAGCTGCCACGTGCCCTTTTCACTAACAATAGCCAGAAACGGCACACTCGACTTATGTGTTTTTGCGGAAAAGAACACGCTTAACGCATCGATTTTACATTTCGACACGTCCTTCGCTAACTTAGTCAGATCTAATCTCTTACACAGATCGACAAACCTGCTTCTTGTTTTAGACGCCTTAGCATTAAAAGGAGCAAAGTTCTTTTCTATTGCTTTTGCAGCTTTTTCATTGAAAGTGGCTCTGGGGAAGGCTACGAACCCACCCTTCTTATCTGACTGTAAAAGACAGAGTTCATGATCTACGTTATCACTCCCTTTAAAATTGCTACCACCGCCACGCACTGTCCTTGGGGCACAATTCAAAAGGCAGTCCACACCTTCAAGCAGGCAACGTTCCTGGTCTTCTTTGTCTGCCTTGCTGGCCACTCTCCGATTCAGTGCCACAAGTTCATGTGCTGGAATACTCGGCTCGATCCCGTACTTGGGTCCCTTGCTGAGTAAGGTGGTGATGTTCTCGGGAATAACTTCTTCACCTACAACCATAAGTCCACTCACCCGTTCTTCTTTCTGTTTTTGTCAGATGATCGAAGGGCTTGGCTGAGAGTGTAGTTCTATCTGTATTCTGTCAACCAGGCCGAGAAGCCTTTTATCTGTTGCAACTTCCTTTCTGCGAGCCATGGGGGTCTTGTAAATAACACACCACGCGCAACCAGTCATTGAACATGCGAACTTGGCGCCATAATTCAGAGCGAAGGATCTTACAGATTCGTTTCTGGTGTCCCCATGACGGCCTCACATTGCCGCACAGAGAACTTACTTCTTCTGGTGCGACTCCTTTCCTGTTGCAGAAGCAGCTGAATCTTGCGCGACACGTTGCAGTGACGATGTGACAGACGAGCGTGCTGACATTGAGATGATCGGAAGAAACACAAAAAGAAGGGCCCACTGTAAAAGAAATGTACTGTAAAATAGTGTGCTGTTGGGCGAGTTGGTGAACGTTTGGATACATGGTTTTGCGCAAAAAAAAGACGGACACAAGAGAGAAACAAACACGAGCGCAACTTACAACTCTATTGAGGAAACCTTTAGAAAACATACAGATATATCGCCAACTTCAATGCGTCCACGCATGCGTCGTGTCACAATCACACGCTCGTCACAGAAACTTGTCAAACTTGAAAAACGCTCCCTTCCAAACGTTCACCAACTCGCCCAACAACAAACTATTTTATCCTAACTAATCAACACGCACACGGGCAAAAAGTATAATAACTACTCCTACGAAGGAACAGCGCTCGAACACATGCGCTTGAAAGCACACAGGTGGAAAAAAAAAAAGAAAAAACGTGCACAGCATCTTGGCATTGTCTTGGCTAAAAACGAGCTGTGCGATAGTTGCCAGACCATTTCACGCGTTCAAATATTTTATAGGAGAAATTAACGATAAACAAGGAGCGTATCCGCAAAACGGACGTGCTTTCGAGAAGACAGTTTTTTAGTTATAAATATTACTTTCCAAAAAAAAAGTGCGAACATGGAAAACGTGCAGAAAAAGATGAACTTCTTAAATTGCAAAAAAAAACAACAAAAAAACACACAAAACAATTTTTTTTTTTTTTTTTTTTTTTTGCTTTGTGCCTTTCATCTTTGTTGAATAAGGGTGCCTGCTGGATACTTTTCGGGAGCAAGAGGTAGAATTTAAGACGCATTCTTCTAACAATATTAGCTTCGTCCCTTTTTCATGGTCCCGTGTGTTGCTTGGGGCCTCGATAAATTATGACAATGGCGCCTTTGTTGTTTATGTTGTTTAATGGATACTGCGGGTCTCAGTTATAAGCTTTAGCAGGAGTGGAAGTATTCATAATAATGTATACGTCACGAATACATACTAAAAAATTCAATCATTCATATATCTGATAAGGTGCGTTTTCAAAACTTGTGATTGATGAAAGCCTGGAAACTTCATTTGGCACTGAATTCCAATATTGCAATGCAAGGGGGAAAAATTAATATTTGAAAACATTATGTTTAAAACTGTGCTGCTGAATTGATCTCATATGGTTGATTCTTGTCGATCCAGTTGGTGAACATCTGATATATTGTTTAATGCGAGTAACAAACTTGGCGTGAATAAAAAAAATACAGAAGTTATAAGTTGTCATATTTTTCTCTAGTTTCCAACGCCTGCATATTTGAGTCTCTAAGCAAGTGCGCTTCTGAAGTCCAATTTCTAAATGCGTTGAATACAAAATAGCTTGTACTTGGGCACCTCGATCTAAGTCTCCTTATCTCATTGTCCGCGGTGTGGGAAAACCAAACAAAGTTATGTACTCCAGCATAGGTCTAATTAGTATTGTATATGCTCTAGTCTTTGTCCCGGTATCTGCAATTTTAAGGATAAGCCTTAGCGTGAAACGTTTTCACGCAGCCTTGTTCACAGTTTGATAAACATTTTGATTACCAGTAATTCCTTAAATAAACGCAATACCTAGGTATTTATAATAGTTTGCAGCTTTTATACTTGTCCTGTTAACAATAATTAAAAAGTAGTCTGTAATTTTTCCAAGGTATGATCATAGCTACTGTTTTGTCAAATTCATTTGCAATTGCCATCGGTTTTACCCTTCTCCAATCTGCAATACTGCATTACTGAGATTTATTTGATCTTGGAGGGATATTACTTCCTAAAAAAATTCACGGTTATCTGAAAAAAGCTTGATCGGCTCTTGAATGTCCTTCGAGATATCATTCATATTGGTAGAAACACAAAAGAACGAACCAGGCGTTGATCCCTGGGGTACTCCCGAAGTGACAGGAAGGTGAGTGAGGGATACACCATTACTTTTAAAGTACTGAGTCCACTCAGATAAGTAGGCGGCAATCCAGTTTATCCGTTGGTCATTTCCAAAAAAAAGATTCAAGCGAGCTTGAGTAGAAGTTAGGAGTATTAAGAGAGATTAAAAGCCCTAGAAGGGTAAAGTAATACAACACGTTTCTCGCCGTTTGTTTAATTTAGTAGCAAAGGAGTGCATAACTCCTGTTAGCTAAGGGACAGTAGAGAGGGATTTCTGCAGCCGCGTTGACACTCCATCAGAATATTATTTGTCTAGACTCTATTCTGGCATATGTTTTTATGTTACATGTTCAAGTACTTTAGAACAGGTGCTTGGTAATTACAGCGGTATGTAATATTTTGGATTACTGCGGACACCAGATTTATGTATGGGGATCCTTTTTCCTGTTTTTCAATGCATGGGTAACACTTTATATATTAGAGATGCTGTAGAAATTGCGTCTGAATATACTGATGCCTACTACGCATACCGCCATACCGCCGTAAAGAATGATTATGCAAACGTTAAGGACCAGGACTTTTTAAGCATTTTCCACCCCAGTCTGTGGATTTCTTAAAGATTTTCCAATTTAACTCTCAATTTATTATCAAATACGTTCGTCGGAACTGCTTCCTTAAGTGACGTAAATGTTTCCCCTTCAAGTTCGTTTATTGCCTTAAGCGATAACGTTGTTGCGACGACCGTGATTTTCTGAATTATCAACCTTTGCAGTCAGCAATGAAACTTGCACTTCAAAGGGGGTCTTCATAACCTCTTCACACTTGTGTATCTTATTAGCCGTCAAAAAATCGATGCCATCTTTTGTACAACCAATTCCAACTTCAAATTTCTGCTTAGTATGTGCTTGTTAAGTGTTTCTGTAATGAACCTGATGTTATCCAACGACTTTTGTTGGTCAATGAGAATTTGAGTTAATTGCTCACTAATCTCGGCACCGGGGTTTCTTTCGATGTCTGCACTAAGCTGCAACACTAAAAGGCAGACTTAATCAAAACACCCGGCAATCACGTCACACAACACTTCGGAACAAGGCAACATCACAAGGCATAAACGATCTCATTGCAGGAATGAGAACCATTTACAAACCTGCACAAAAACAAATGAGCGGGTTGAGTTTTGACCGCATAGCTCCAGTGCTGCCTTGCCCACTGAAAAGAACGTCGCGTGGGGCCGTGATCGATGCTGTTGCAGATGACGATGGCACATTGCTGTGCTTTCGGATTGAAAGTAAAAGAAATATTCGCGTGCTCGGATGTTCCTTAGCCTGCAAGGGGCCCTAAACTCGTCAACACAAGGTTGGAGCCAAAAAGCCGCAGAGCGCTCCGATTGGACGTCAGTTACAAAAACTCCAAGTCATCGTCGTGACTCTCTAATCGGTGCGCTCCGTCAACATCGGCCCCAAGTTTGTGTTTGACGAGCTTAGGGCCTTAGTTTTTGTTCGGGATTATAAAAACCACTGGCAAATTCACGTTGCAGCCTGCCCTGCGGTCTCCAGGCTTGTGTTCACTGTTGTTCCCATCACTATTGACGGTCTTCGGCAAGTCCTCTTAAAACGCGGTAAAAAGCGTAGTAAAAAGAAATATGAATTAGTTACCTACCTGCAGCCTACAGCTACCACACCAAATGCCTAAAATAGTAACAAGAATGCAACAACGTGCGAGTTAGGCTTAAACACTTTCTTCACGACGTTTCCGTTTTGTGTCTTGTATATGGAAACGGCACACCGTTGTGGTGATAGCTGGCGATTGGCAATTGGGCAGGCATTATCAGTATGCAGGGGCCATGTATGGCTGGGTAACTAATTTAGTAAAAAGAAACTAAATGTAAGAACTTTGCGGCCATAACGTCCACGTATAATTATAACGGCATGTTTGGGAAAACTACGACCAACAAAGCAAAAGATATTCTAAAAACGTAACACTTTCTGACGGTCTGTATTGAGGTTTAGAAGAAAACACACTATCCAACCTAACATTGCAGTTTTTCCATGAGGCACATAACCTCTTAGACCAATCTAGGTGCAGAGAGATTCAGTAACCAACAAGTAGAATAGCATTTTATGCTGTAAGGACACGTTTGCAGAGTTTCCTCTGTAATTCAATATGAAATTGGGGAGACTTACCGTTAGAACCGGGCAAACGCCCACACAAAGTTTGGAAAGAATCTTGAGAAAATGAAAATGGGCGCTTGTACGGTCATTAAATGTACATATAAACATACTGTGAGTATGTTCTGAGATCTTAAAAAATTGAGAATGGGTCGATACGCTCTATTCTATGGTATATACAGCAATTAAAAATATAGCCCTGCAAAAATGGTAACCTGAAGCACAATCATGTATGGTCATCAGCCTCACTTAAAAGCAGAGTCCGATTATTGTTTTTTTTTTTTTTCATTAAAACTTCACCACGCCTTCCACGGGAATGTCGGTTACTAATACTTTTAAAAAATCAGGACTGCAGATATGGTATCAAAAGTTCAGTATGTATTGTAGTCTGGTGAAAACACTTGACGAACATGATAACCGCTTGCGCTTAAATAGCATTGAACATAGTGTGGCTAAAATTTCTAAGAAGTTCTCGCGCTCCAATAAACAATACTTAATGTATAATCGACCAAATATGTGTCTTCCTTAGGATGCTGGTTATCACTGGGTCCCCAGGAGAAATTGCAAATCACTTGGTTGAT